CACTGCGAGGTCCACTGAGTACAATAATATATTGTTATTTTTGACAAATTTTTTACTAGATGTGCCGCGTGGTGTCGCCCGCACTTAACTAGAGAAGACTAGCTGTTTTAATACTTCATTATAAAGTATCATTTTTTCAACCGCTATAGGATAGGATCATATCGTTATTTTTTTATTATTCAATTTGAGAATTTTTTATTTAACTATGAGGTCATCAGTACACATTACTAACAATCCCTACCTCTTTGCCTTGTTTTTTTTATCATTTTTACATAATTGGGTATGTGACTGTATTATCTGTGAAAGGAACAATAAAGAGTTTCATTCATTCATTCATTCATTCAATCAATCCCCTTACCTCCATATCGAGATGTTTATTAAACCCTATTGTTATTAATAAAAAGTGTGATTATTTTGCATGTTTCTAAATATCTCAAAAGTTATTTCTTTGTGAAATTACACATGTTTGTTTATATCGAAACATGTACAAAACTCGTTTTCAAGTGTTTGTATTAAACTAGTGATACGAGATATAAATATTAACTTCATTGCTCCATATTTATTTATTTTTAATGTACTAGTAGGTACAATATATATGCCGAACTTAACACCAAAACATTCTGGCGCTCTCTACCAGTCAAATAAAGTAAACTGAGAAATTAGTAAGCGGTTCATTATAGTTCCCGAACATACCTATGTGGTAACTTTTTAAATTATATAAACGATATAAATGAAATTTGGTACACAGATAGTCTAGATCTTGAGAAAGGATATAGGCCACTTCTTGAAGCAAAAAAAGGGTTGTAAGGGGTTGAAAGACGAGATGAAAGATGGTATGGAAGTATCGTCGTTTTTAGAAGCTTGAATATTATTTTTGAGCTGTTGATTAAATATAAGTAAATATGACTTTGAAAGTTTCTCAAAATTTTACTCTTAAATAAAATAGGGGATGAAAATTTTATGAAAATTCGTCATTTTTGTAGCTAGAGCGATGAAATTGATTTCTTTTAGCTTTTTTGGATTAGATTATGAAATGTTTTTTGACCAAGGTCACTATTTCACGCGGACGAAGCCGCGGGTACAACTAGTAACATATATTTTTTTAAATAAACTAACGGTGGACCTTATCGTAAGTGACAACAGCACCAGTGCACCAGCACTGACTACAATGTCATATGAAATTACTGGGTAAAGAAATATTCTTTACCCAGTAATTTCACTAGCTTATCTCAACGAAACAGCTTATAAATCAAGCTTGGCGGCCGATAGGTGAGTCTGTGGTACTCACACTGACGAAGTAGCAAACGATAACAGCAACTCTAATGTTTTTTAAATTAATATATTTCTATAAATGTAACAAAAGTTTTGGCTGTTTTCGTTACTGTTTTTATGGGTCAAATGAATTATTTAATACTACAAGACTACTAACATGTGTGAGTACAACGCTCTCTTTTGTCTGAAATCACTGAACAAACTTATAAAATAAGTGGGGGACAAATTACGACGCCATTAGTGACGTAAGAAAGAGACTTGCTTCACGGTACTTGGGACGGGACATAACAGTTCACTATATAAAAGCTTTTGGTACAAACGATGAGCGGAAGAGATTCTTTAAAACTTAATTTTAATGCTGCCTCGGTGGTCTAGCAGTTTAGCACACCGCCTTATTTCCGATGGTCGCGGGTTCGATTCCTCGCAAAATAATATAAACCCATTAAGCAATAAAATGGACTCCACTTCTTAGATACTCGCATTAGAATAGATGATAATGTTAACTGTATACGGGTGGAGCCACTATCCACGTTTTGTTGTACGATTCTGGAGGAATGAGATGCTCTACTAGCTGACTCGCGCAACTTCGTCTGTAGCATACTTACTTGACATTTATCATTATATTTCGTCCAATCTATATAATATATATTTAAATTACAGCCTATGTATTATTTTAATTCATAATCTATATTACTGTAAAGTTTCATCAAAATTCGTTCAATATTTTTTGCGTGAGAAAGAAACAATCTATCTATCTATCCATTATCACAAACTACTCGCGTTCATAATTGTACTGTACATCTATATATTTTTTATTAATGAGTATATATTTCATTTGAAGTCAGGTCTCGTTTACGATTTCTCTCACTAGTCAGTGAGAGAACTTCCGGGCAAGAGGCTCTCTCACTAGAATACTTCTTACTAATATTAGGAAGTTGTATTCTACTTAGTAACTTACTAATATTAGTAAGATGTATTCTACTTAGTAACCTACTAATGTTAGTAAGATGTATTCTACTTAGGAACTTACTAATATTAGCAAGAAGTATTATACTTAGTAACTTACTAATATGAATAAGATGTAGTGTGCTTTGTAATTTACTAATATAGATAAGAAGTGTTCTACTTAGTAACTTACTAATGTTAGTAAGATGTATTCTACTCAGAAACTTACTAATATTAGCAAGAAGTATTCTACGCTAATCTATAACTATGTCGCTTCCTCTAAATGCGCTCACTTAGACCACCACACTACGTACACAATCATAAGGCTGGGATCACATCTCGGAACGCACTTCTGCCCAAATTGCTTGGTTTATTCTCGCTCCTACGTGAGAATGTAATTATCTTAGCCTTCGCGAATTATTTCCCCGCCATTTGAACATTCCCGTATATTAAACTCTTGTTTGGTGAAAAACATATCCGGGATAGAATGCATAGCATTGTTATTGTAATTTCGCTAATTATAATAATGGCGTTAGCTTCAAGATTCAGCAAGGAGTGTGCCCATTCTGCTAGTAATGTCGCTTATAATTTATTTATTTACCTTCGCATGGGTGTACATTTATTATCTTATATATAAAATTCTCGTGTCACAGTTTTCGTTCCCATACTCCTCCGAAACGGCTTGACCGATTCTCATGAAATTTTGTGAGCGTATTGAGTAGGTCTGAGAATCGGCCAACATCTATTTTTCATCCCTCTAAATGTTAGGGTTAGTTCACCCCTAAATTTATTTTTTAGACAAAATTTTTAGTTTCTTATTTTTTATGATACAACATACAAAAATACAAACAATCCTAAATTTTCACCCTTCTATCATCAACCCCTATTTTTTTATAGTGTTATTAATTGATATGGCAAAACAACGTTTGCCGGGACAGCTAGTTATATTTATATATATAACTAGCTGTCCCTTCCTCATGAATTAAAAAAACCGCTTCAATATCCGTTGCGTAGTTTTAAAGATTTAAGTACAGACAGCGACAGCAACTTTGTTTTCTACTATGTATATAATAATGATGATAATGATATTTGGAAAATCAACACTATGTACAGACGGTAATAAATATAATTAAAATTATAGGTTTTTACAGATAGAGGTAAGATAGAAAAAAATATTCACAGGACGTAATAATAATCCTAAATAATGCAGACAATGCCATCTAGTCCCTAGATGAATAGAGCTCGTGTTATGGGTACTAGACAACTGATATAAACTTAGTATAGTGTTATTTTTAAATACATATATATAACAATGATCCTGTAAAAACATGGAAAAAGTAGCTAATATGTTTGAGCCTCGGTGGTTTAGCACACCGCTTTACTTCCGATGGTCACAGGTTCGATTCCTTGTACAGTACACACATTTGAATTCATGAGTATGATTCTTTGTATCGGTCTGGATGTTTTCTATATTTATTATGTATTTGCAAAAAATATCTAAGTATTCAATTAGTTATATATATACTCATAATACAAGCTCTGCTTATTAATTCACTTGTAAGTAGTATAGATTAACCTTTACGCACTTTTCCTTTAAAATGAAATAATGAAATTTAAAAAGAGTCTCAAGACAAAAGAACGTCAATTAATTTTGTTACAAACTTTTCAGGCGTACATGAAATAAAACCGTCTCTATTAAACTGCGCGTTTTACTGTAGTTCATTTATATTTATGTGACTTAATGAAAATTAACCTTATTTAACTTTGGAGACTAATTAGGGATTAATGAAAGTAATTTACGGTCCATCACGACTGATACCCCAGATGGGGTAGTCAGAAGCATTATCAAATGTTGCTGTTTTTTTTTCGGACTACTTTAAGGCTGTTGGCCGCAGCTGGCTTTTACAGCCTCACCGGATGAGGGGGTGAGTGCAGATGACACTCCAACCGGCAGGAGGACTTATGGAGCGGCTGAAGGCTAACTCCCGCCTGACTAATACGACTTTAGTCTGAGGGCACCGCTAGGGGTTCTAACTTCGCCTCAGGCCGTCGTAATTTCGATCCCCGTTCGAATTGGACGGGGGATCGATCGAAGGCGTGTTGCTGTCGTTGTGAATACATGTCCTTATTTCATATTGTATAGAACTATCGTCATTTTTAAGCTAGAAACTTAAAACTTATTTATTAGGCTATTGAAAAAATATACGTAAGTATGACATTCAAAGTTTGTAAATATATTACCCTTAAAAAATAGGGCATGAAAGTTTGTATGAAAATTGATACACTTCAAATATCGAATTAAAGTATTTATACCTATATATCTCAGTTTAAAATAATTATTCCATGCGGACGAAGTCACAGGCACAGCTATTACACACACGATTAAAAAAAGTGAGTGTAGTGTTACATCTGGTAACGTGGCGTATTAATATCTCTTTTATCTTTAAAATTATGTACCTATTATAAATTACACGTGAGATACTTATGCATTACCATAAAGTTAAAACAATATCCAAAAATAAACCTCCGAATGTAACAGAACTCATTTTTATGCCATCGCCAACTGTTTATTTATAAAAGCACTTTTATATCATCGGTTAATACCATACGTTTATAAAGTTTACAGTTTGTAAAGTACACAAAACGATTTCGTGTCTTAATGTTGCTATTAAACTACCTCGCGTGTTACAGCGCCATCTATTTTCGACCGCGTTACACTAATAGCTTTTATAGCACTTCCTCTCTCAACTACATGTGTAAAGTGACTTTTTTATTTGTTACAGGTTTGGCAGCTCATAAGTCAAAAATGGACAAGACAGTCCTGCGTTCGGTCTTCGTATTTTGTCTCATCCTGGCAGTAGAAGCTGATTTCACATCGAACTGCCCAAAAGAGTGCAAATGTGTTTGGGCGAGTGGTAACAAAAGAGCTAACTGTTCTCGAGCTGGTCTACAAAACATTCCAAAAACTTTGAGCTCCGACATCCAGAATCTTGACTTAGAATACAATCCTCTCTACGAAATATCGAGTAACGCATTCGATGATGTTCAATTGATCAATTTAAAGAAGCTTCAATTGAGTTATTGCAAATTAGAAACAATCCATAGAAATGGTTTCAGTGGTCTCGCAATCATGATTGAATTAGATCTATCGAAAAATTTTCTAAAAACTTTACACCCTGATACGTTTAGAGAAACTACTAAAATTAGATGGATAATATTAAAAGATAATCAATTAGAAAAACTAGAAGACGGTCTTTTTAGTAATCTGGAGTTTTTACAGAAAGTCGAACTAAGTAACAACCATATAGTACAAATCGGAATCAAAACATTCTTTAATGTTCCGAAACTAAACACATTAGAATTGGACGGTAATAAACTTGAATATGTTAAGGTTGATGCACTAAATTCACTGACATTATCCAATTTAAATGTTCATGACAATCCTTGGCGGTGTGACTGTTATCTTCAACCTTTTAGAAATTGGGTCATTAGCAAGCATCTATACACTTCGCCTATAATTTGTCAAGAACCGTTAAAAGTCCAAGGAAAAACATGGAAGGAGTTAGATACGGGTGACTTTGCTTGTCGACCAACTATTGTTTACCCTTCAAATAGTACGACCGTCAGATCATCAGACAATAATATCACGCTAGCGTGCCAAGTAAATGGAAATCCACTGCCAGAAGTTAACTGGGTGCTGAATGATCAAATTATTGACAGTTCTCGTAGGTATCAAGGTGAATTAAAATATAATATAGCATCAAGTAGTAACGACAATAGCAAATGGGTAAATCTAACAGTATTAGATGCTGGTAGTACAGATAGCGGTGAGTATTTATGCGTGGCCAAAAATCAAGGAGGTATGGAGGAGAGAAACGTAATTCTTGTGGTAACACATATAAATCATGACGTCATATCTCCAACAGGAATGGACAATGATATGCTCCCACTTTTAATAGGTACAGTTGCTACAGCCGCTATATTATTGATAGTTATTATTGTATTATGCTACTTCTGCTGTCGGCGGCGAATGTCGGAGAAGAAAAAAGCGAACGTGTCTAACGGGGAAGCTTTGATAGAGGGATCAGTTATTCCAGAAATGGAGAAAAGTTTAAACACTGCCGTAAATCCAGTTATCAAGCCCCCGAGGAGATATGATGCACCGCCTTCCATCACCAGTGGCACGGAGTTGTTAGAATTAAATAAAACACTGCTGGACAATGATTTTATATATGGAGGTAAGTTCATACAGCTCTTCAAATTATGATATTATAATGATGCTCTTATATGTTAATATATAATATTTAATACTTCATATTGACGAAATAATATCTCACTACTCCTACTAATGTACGGTTGTCAATATTGGAACACAATACAATACTTCAAAGCAGTGCAATTCAGTCGTTAGGCTCGCCTGAAGTCACGTTTGATTCAATATGTACGGTACATATTTATATATGCATATTGATCAGAACTCTGAGTTCTAACAGATTAGCACACCGTCTTACTGGTCAGGGGTTCGATTCCTCGCACGGTATAAATATGTGTATACATGAGTATGATTTGTATAGGTCTGGGTGTTTTAAAAAACATTGTATCTATATATTTATATCAGTTGTCTAATACCCACAATTTGAGCTTTGCTTACTTTGGACTAGATGGTCCTATGTGAATTATTGTGAAATATAATTATTATTATATCAAATATTCAGTTCAAATGGGATTAGAAAGAAGCAGATGACGACGATGACGATGATCGAGTGTTTTCGAAGTGAATTCGCAACATCGACAGTTGACAATACCTGTAACTACCCCACTGGGATAACAATCGTGACAGAGTGTTATGTCAATGAAGGTTAATGTAGCTAGAATGATACCTAGTTAATATATATTGTCAACCCCTAAGGGTGGCGGTCCACCTAATGGAAAGTTACGCCGCTTATAGGCATTAAGCTGTCATATTTAAAAATTAACCCGTAATGTAATGTCTAACATTGTACTAATTTATTATTATACATTTTATATATTCTGCGAACTTGCAAAGATTTTCAAACAAACAGAATATAATGCACTGTTGATCTTTAGAATTACAGCAGAAATTTTTATCAATATTTTATATTTTCAAATTATTGTAACAAAAATATAATGAAGTAATAATTTCTATTACAGCACACAATGACGACGACAAACGATCACTAGAATTCGAACTTGCAACGAAAAGATCACACGGCGGTCTTGACGTAGAGTATGAACGAGCGGACGGACGGGCCTATCCTCCAGATCTTCTGTCTTTCCCACCGAGAGCAGCCCAGATTTCTCCAGCAGCGAGCAATGCATCGACAGTGCCCGACACCACAAGATTACCTGCACAAATAAATCCAGTTAGTCCAATGCATTCACCGATTTACGGCGTGATGGCCAACCCAAATGTTTATAAAACTTTGCCATATTCTCGGTCACAATCACCCTTCATAGCTCCTTTAACTCCATCTGTTGTTACGCCAAGACAGGGATATGTCACAATTCCAAGGAGGCCTAGAGTGCCTAGTTGGTCGAGTACGGCAAGTACTCAAATTATGCCAAGTGCTGAGGCTCAAGAACCCTTATATGATAATTTAGGGTTAAGAACAACTGCAGACGGTAGTTCAGTTTTATCTCTGAACAAAACAGGATTAGAAGCCCAGTTCTCACCAATGAGAAATCGTCCATTGCCAGCTACTCCAATAGTTTACCAACCACCGCATCCGGCTTATTGTACTCCTATTGAAGAACAAGAGCCATCGTCTTCTCCTGTTCCTGCTCACTATGGAACAAATATGAGAAGTAGTATCTCGTCACAATTATCATCGCAACTTTCTACACCGGGCCCACAAGAACCAATGAGTCCAAGGATAAGTTGGAGTGCGAAAAACACCTCTACTCCTCAACCAGATTCCAAGAAAACACTGTTTGCCTACCCTGATAGAAAGAGCATAGATAGTCAATCGCAGGCATCTGATATTAGTACGTTGAGTCGGAAGAGTAACAAACCAGAGACAGGATCCCTGAGAAGAAATCCGAAAATTGAGAAAGAAGAGTTAAGATCACCGTCTAAAGATGACACGCGAAAAAACGAAAATATTGTGTCTCAAAACCAGTCGGAAACACTTGGCAGAAGTGGAAAAATTCCACCAAGACCTCCCCCAAAGCCCAAAAAAAAACTTAGCACAGAAGTGAATCCCAATGAAACACTTTTAGAAGATGAGGGTGAAGACGGCACGGAGGTGTAGCAACCGGGTGACTAAGTGAATAAAATCTACCAAAGTGCCAAGAGGTGAAGTGATCAAAGTGACACAAGTGATAAAATTGAGTATAAACCAATCGTAAAAACGATTATTTTTTCGCGGTGCTCGTGTAAATATCGTTCGTGCTAGGTTTTTTACCTTTGCGTACAATTAAAACATTATGGACCATTTTAAAAGTATTTAAGTGTTTATTGTAATAAATATTGACGTTCAGGACACCAAGGTATCTTAATCAATGGTTTAGTTTTATTTTTTAAGTATTTATTCTTCGTAATAACTATTGGTTAAGAGGGAACGTTAGTTGAGCTATTTTTGTTGCTAGTTCGAGCGGCATAATTTTCATCCACTTCCAAGACTGATTATTCTAAATTAACAGTTTTCTCGTCTGACATTCCCTTGTTTACATTATTCCAATTATCAATAGATTTGCTAGAATGATTTCACTAACAGTAGAATATATTTGGAAGACTGATTGTGATTGTTAGTCGCTTTTATCTATTGATAATGTCAATAGCTACATTATAGCGTTTGTTATGGGTTTTGTAGGAAATATTTTAAACGTTAATATCCATACATATTGCATGTAATTTCAGCGAATGCAGGACATCAGCTTAGACAGATTCATTGATTAGATGGTGCATTATGTTTTTTAAATAATTTAAACGGTTAATGGAAGAGTTTCTGAAATATCTCTATATGATTGTACAATTTAATATGTATGGCTATTAATTTAGGTGCGTATTACTTGATTAGAATGTTCAAAAAGATATAATTGTCTGTACCTATCATATAACAAATTTAAAACTACACAATGTATTTATTTACAATACATAAATTTATATGAAAATTGTTTCATGCGAGAGTATTGGAGTAATATAAAGAAATGTTGAAAATTTCTCCGCTGTAGACAACAGATTGAAATATACGAGGTTTTTAGATATGTTAGTTTTAATACATTACTGTTTTCATGTAATTGTTAGGTCTCTTTCGTAATATCTCAACGAAAATATTTTGACTTCGCCTAATCTAAGTTAATATCATTTTAGTTTTATATAACGAGGCTGTTTGTAAGCACATTCTCAAGTTCACTGACGTGAAAAGCATTTTGCAATTCTATATTTTAATGTATGGTTCCTAGCGCTTTTTTGTATTTTTATTACTGTATGTTATCATATTAAATAAGTTTTTGGTTTCCATTTTAGAACGTTGGTGCTTATTTTATTGTTCATATATACGATGCTACTAAATTACCTGCATTCCCTTCTACAGGTGGTATTACTGGATGTATACCAACATTGAGATAATGATGGAATTTCGTGTCACTAATGTATTTTTTTGTACAATAAATATCTTAGTGTAAATTGGTTTTTAAATATAGATGTAGAACTTCCTTGCTATATGAATAAAGACCTAATTATATGCAATGAAAAAAATTACGACATATTTTTTTTATAATTTTATATATACAAGTACAAAATCGAGAAATTCCTTCAATAATACTTGTATAAAATTATCGTGTTACAGTGTTTATAAAGAAACTCATCAGAAACGGCTAGACCAATTCTTATGAAATTTTGTTTGTATATTTCACTAGGTCCAAAAATGGAACGTAAACTATTTTTCACACCTATAAGTGATAAGGGGGGTCGATTATTAATATACTTAAACTGATTTCAAAGCAAATAATTTTATGGTAAATAAAGGTAATTTTTTTTACCTCTCTCGGCGTTACGTTTCTCCAGTCAGCTCGTGAAAACGGCTAGTGCAACCTAGACAAAACGTCGAGAGAGGTAAATATCTTTATTTACTAGAAAATTATTCTTGTTAAAATCCTTTTAACTGTATTAATAATGTGTACTAAACAGGAAAGGGTGGCCCAATCCACTCTTTTGAAATTTTTTCTGTAATAATGTTTTTTTATGTTTGTCATTAAAAAATTACAACTGTAGTAGAGAATGGGGATAAGTACTTTAGTAGCTCATATTGATATGTTTACACTTCATACTGCCACTATACGAAGTACATATACGAAGTAATTAATTACACTCGTTTATTTTTAATGTTTTAGACGTTTTTTTATTGTCCTGTCACGTGCTATTTTATCGAGCTTTAGGTTTACACAAGTTTATTGTACAATTCACTGTTTTTTACATTAATTGTAAACATCCAGTTTTTTTATAGTGTTAAGTGCTGTAAATACGAATATTATTAAAACTGATTAAAGCTATATTTCAGTAAATTGGTTTTTGTTTACTATTTTTAATTCAACTTAATTAAAATGTGGGATTCCCCATTTACATTGAATCCCCCTAAATCATCCCTACTAATATACTAATGCGCCTGAGTATGTCTGTTCGTTTATACCTTTTCACCAGTAAACGAAAAATAGATTTCTATATTTAGTTTATGACTAGCTATACCCGCGATTTCGTCCGCGTGGAATTTAACTCATTTTTCTAAAACAAAAGTAGTTGCTCCTTACATCAGCTACCTGCCAAAAAAAGTCCCGACAAAATCGGTCCAGCCATTTCAAAGGTTAGCCGGAACAAACCGACAGATAAACCAAAATTTAAAAAACCGTACCGTATTTATATTCATATGCATGTAGTAATAAACGGTTATTTCAATATTACAAACCGACACTCCAATTTTATGTATATGTATAGATTGGAGAACTCTTTTGATCGTACCGCTCATGGATTGGTCTTAATGAACTTAAACGTGAAAATAGATTTAATGTATTGGAATTTAAAAAAAAACAAAAGCAGTCAACTGTTTGTATATTTATAAATAATAAAATACGTTAGTGAATAGATGTGGTAGAGACTGTCTCCCAGAAAAGTTGAAGGGCAAAAATCGTCTGAAAATTTCTATGGGCAGGAGTAGACTAAGCACCTAAGCAGGTGCTTGGGGCCCGTAATTTTTAAAATTACCGAATGCTAATTTTTATACTATGATGGTGGCAATCAAGCATACGGCTCATCTGATGGTAAACGGTTACCGTAGTCTATGAACCCCTAAAACACCAGGGGTATCACGTGCGCGTTGCCGACCCTTAAGAAACCTTAATATACCCTTCTCGAAAAACCCCATGCTGTAGTCTAGTGGAAAAACCTCAGCAGGAAGTTCATTCCACAATCTAAGTGTATGCGGGAGGAAACTCCTCTGAAACCGCACTGTTCGGGACCACTTAGGTTTCAGCATATGGGGATGAATTCCCTGTCGATGGCGAGCGGTGCGGTGGTAAAAGGTGGCTGTCGGCATCATGTGTCGTGACTCATCGAGTGAAAATATTCCCAGACTCACAATGTTGCCTAGGACCCACTTTATCCTTAGTCCGCCACTGTGTATAGGGTATCAAAATATTCTCAAGTAATAATAACAATATTTAGCATATATTACAGACAAAGTCGCAGGCTAAACTAGTGTTCAATGACCCGATAGTATCGCAGTAAACTTGAGCTTAAAACGAAGCCAAAACAAAATAAAAGTGGCCATTGTTTTTTCGTTGTAAAAATATCAAATCACGCACTAAAATGAAACTAAAGGAGACCTCTCGCGTTTTACTGCGTCGAATATTGGGCAGTAAAAATCACAATGGGACATTGATACCGTGTTCCAGTCGACACTTTGCATTGAGCTGTTCGGCACCGGGTTCAACCTTGGACGACAAAAGAGGTATTGTGTTTAAAAATCGGCATATATTTTTTGTCTTTAGGTTGTAATAGAATCGTTGGTAATCAACGTCTGTGTGACACACTCGACCCATAGTCACTGATATTGCATCTCTATGCATTTTCTACCGCATATATCATGGGGAGCGTTCTGAGGTATTGTTCGGATTAACACCAGCTGAGTTTCACCAGAAAAAAACGCCATCCTGATCATCTGAATGAATGGCGATCCTCCACAGTGCGGTTTTCTAGAAACTTTTTGCCACGGACAAATACATTATGGAAGCACCTTCCAGGAATGGTATATCCGACCCGGTACGATATTGAAACATCCAAAACAACAGCTTGTTCTGTTTTAAGGGCCGTCAATGCACTTGCAATTCCTCTGCTTGTTTGTCCCCTGTGCTATAAAAAAATAGTCACAGGGCGACAGCAAACGAAACAGGAAGAATGTGAACTTCTTCTTTTACTTATATGTAGGTACTTTACACTACATGCATTTAAACCGAACTGCACTGTACACAGAATGGCACTGTTCTATTTAAAAACAGACAGGTAGAACCATTATGGTCAAATCAGAACTTATATCTTGTACTTAAAAATAACATCATTATATCAAATGATGATAATGGAATGGTGCCCCCGCCTGCGCTAACGGTTTACGCTGGCGGGGCACCAGTGGAGGATGATAAAATTAGTATAAGGTCAGGTCGTTCGGTAAATCGTGGCAAATTCACTATGAATTATTCACGAATGGTTTCTAGGTGAAAACACAAAGTACAACATTAAATTATTATACTACGATTTATATTAAAACTTTTTATTATAATATTATTAAACAGTTCCCACGTAACAGTGCACAGGCAACCGCCATTCTTATTTGTTTTGCAGTTACCCTCAAAGAGTTTGAAGCTGATAATATGTTTTGTTCTCTGAACAATCTATACTGATCTTATGACCTTTTTGTATAGTTGCTAATCACACATAATAACAATAAATTCTTAATTTCAAGTTGAACTATATTTTTTCCATATTTATAAAAGTAGAATAGGTAATCAATAAAAATCAAAGACAGGATTTTTCTGTTTATCTATGTACATGTTGACTTACTTAATAAGACATGACTCCAGATATGGACGAACCGATTATCGAAGAGGAAAACACATTGAACGCACCTAAATAATAGGAATAAGAACAAAGCCGCGATAATTTAATGTCTATGTATTTATTTCGATATAACAAATATCTTTATTAACATTAATATATCTTATTCTAATTTCCCTCCGATCGATCCCCCGTCCAATTCAGAGTTCGAAATTACGACGGCCTGAGCCGAGGTTCCAACCCCTAGCGGTGCCTACATACTAAAGTCGTATTCGTCAGGCGGTAGTTGGCCTTCAGCCGCTCCATAAGTCCTTCCGCGGGTTTAGAGTACCATCTGCACTCACTCCCTATCGTCTGGTGAAGCTATAAAGGCCAGCTGCGACCAACAGCATTAGAGTAGTTCTGAGAAAAAAGCAGTTGTTGATAAACATAGCCTCAGATCTATACTAATATTTGATAAAATCCGATGTTAAGAGGTAATCGACATATCTATACATAAAGAGAAGAACGACATCACAGCATCATTTGACAGAGTTACCAATTTCAGGGTTTTCTTTTATACTACGATGGTGACAAACAAACAATACGTATGTAATATTATAGACGTCATATAATAATAACCTCTATAAAGCGCTGTGTTAATTGTTCATGGATGATATCCATGAACAAGTAACACAGCGCCATCTAGACACACCCTCAGCACAACTTGTTATTAGTATCTGATAAAAATACTTGAATACATTTTTTTTTTAAATGAATCTATATTATTGTAAACATGTACAACATTTATATGAAAAGAGTTTCTTATTAGTTCTTCTCATCTCGTAGATTAGACATATAATAGATTCTGTAATAGACCTTACATGAATAAAGATATATTGAATTTGAACATAATATACATAGAAAACTCCCAGACCGATACAAACAATCATACTCATTAATACAAACGTACCGTGCGAGGAATCGAACCCGCGATGGTAAAGCGATATAATATACCGTTAGACCACGGAGGCCGTCACAAAATCATTTCCAATCGTCACAAAAACAATCGGAATTGTATAAAACTATTCACAGCCTCCCATTAACATCGCATCACTACGGCAGATGTCTACAAATGTGGGTCGATCAAACAGTGATTTAACGTCCGGACCGTACCACTTGATGCTGACATATGCCCAGTTTATATGAACTGTCAAATCCAATCACAATTCGAGAGTATGAACAAATAGACGCTATACTAGAGTTGCCAACCGTCCTGTTTTCCCAGGACATGTCCTAGTTTTTGTAGTGTCCTGGGGTGTCCTGGATAGATTTTAAGCAGCGTCCTGGGTTTTCAAAACGCCCTGATAAGATCATGTATTTTCACAATTCGCTCACCATTTTTACAATACCTTTTTTTTTTTTAACGTGTGGAAAATCTTCAAAAGACCGTCACCCCGCCGGAGGGAGGGCGGGGCGGTGTGTGAGATTTGTACTCACCAAAAACCACACGGTGTACCTACGAGCGCCTATGCCGGAGCCAGGGGATTCGCAAGTGCATTTCTACCCCAGCTCCGACGGCGACGGCCCGCCCTGTAGATGTTGTAGGGCAGGCCCCATCTCGTTATGTGGTTAGGGCGACCTATTTCGCCCTACACCATTGTGGAGGCGTGTGGGTACACGCGCACACCTCCGGGGCCTTTGGATTGGGGGGACTGCCTCATTTTTACAATACCTGCTCGAATTGTATAGTTTTCTTTAAATACCTTTAAAGTATTAAAAACTGATTATTACCATTACTTGAATTTTATTAATTTAGCCTTATATCATTATACATATATATGTTATAATATAAAAAAAAAAGTCGCTGTCGCTGTCTGTCCGTCCCTACATATGCTTAAATCTTTAAAATCTCTCCTGTTTTTTTAATAGATAGAGTGATTCAAGAGGAAGGTTTATATGCATAATACATGTACACCCGGGCGAAACCGTGGCAAGTAGCTAGTAATAATATAATTATATCAAGTATATTACTGAGTCCTGATTTTGAACCTAATTTTTCTGATGTATCCAACTTCAAATCCTAGTTTTTAAATTTGGTGTTGGCAACCCTACGCTACAGTCGAATGCTTCAGATAAAATGAATTTCAAGCTACGGTGCGAATAGTAAAACATCTGTCTGGATTTGTCCAGAAATTGTCAGACATTAATTTGTAGAATACATAAAGTATCCACCAGAGGGAAACTTTGAGAAAAGTCCTCTGCGTGTGTACCTTTATAACATCTGCTAGCGGACAAAGACAAAATTACATATAAGAATAATAATAATATACATTTATTTCGACGGCCTCGGTGGTCTAGCGGTTAGCACACCCCTTACTTCCGATGGTCCCGGGTTCGATTCCTCACACGGCACGAACATTTATGTTCATAAGTATGATTGTTTGTATCGGTCTGTGTTTTTTGAATGCA